CCTATCTCCTCTCTCCCCTCCTGCCCTCTCTCCCTCCCTCCCTCCCTCCCTTCCTGCCTGCCTGTGTAGCTTCCTACATACCTACCTACCTACATAGCAACCTACCCACTTACGTCACAACCACATCCCTGCATACTTTCCCATGTACATATGCACTTTTTTCTATTGCTTGCTTTCTGTTCCCTTCTTCCTTCTTTTTTCCTCGTTCTCAAATTTGCCGACTGCTGTGTGGCTGAACACTTTTCATAGTGAAAGCCATGGCGAGGGGCCTTCACCCCAACCAACTGGGGAGAATTGTGCAGTGTGCTGCTGTGACTTCCATTCCACCAAGTCTTGACTCAGACTGTTAAATGTACACTTGTCTTTTATTTGATGATTCTACTTTTTGCAGGTTGGTGCAACTATTACTGTGAATGGTACAGAATGTGCCAATGATACAGAAAGCCAGGCACTCCCTGCTCCAGAAGTGGGTCATCACATGTTAATAACCATCAGAGTTGTGGATGGCTCTGGTGAAGAGTCCTTCTACTGTTTGTGGATCGTAAGGAAAAGGAGTAACGGCGGTCGACTTGCTCTTGACATCACCCTAATAGTGGTGGGCATAAGCATCCTCCTTTATGTTATCATCTGGAATCTTTGTGCTTCGATTTGGGACAACAATGATGAATGGGATGAAGGGACAATGGGAAGAGGAACAAAACGGGACAACAGAGGCAAGATACCAGAAAGAGAAGAGAGGCCCCTGAGGAGGAGAGAACGGAGTGAACTGAGAGGTCAATCGAGTAGGCACCCTTTTGTAGGCTTGGAAGAGAGAGATTTTAGGGACCTTGCAGAGTGACATGATTTCATGTCATCACAAACTGAGGAGCAGAGAGAACGACTGTCCAGCTTCTGGTCAATGCATTTTGTCTCTGTGCAGCATCATATGCTACAAGTAGAGCATGTGATTAATGGGGGCTCTTGTCAGGGCATTCCAGCTTAGGAGTGGCTCCCGACCGGTTGACTATCAGGCATTGGGTTGTTGTTGCAAACTGTTCTGCAGTATGAGAGGTGGATGAGGATTTTTATGACAGGTTCTAGGACAAGAGAAAGTTAAGGTGGCAGAGAAGGTTGGCTGTCGACAATCAGCCGTAACTAGGCATTGGCTTGGTGTTAACTGATCTGCAATATGAGAAGCGGATTATGGGTTTCTAATGAGTCCGAAGGTAGTGTTTGGACAAGTGAAGGCAGCGGAAAGGGGTGACTCTTTCTTTGGCTGTCAGCAAATCAGGCTCCCCCTTCGTGTCAAATGATTTACATGATATTCTGAAGGCTCCGCATCCCCTGCCAGATCAAAGTGTGAGAAAGGAAGGGGTTCTTTGGTTGTCAACGACCTGTAATTGCTGTTCTATGAAATGATGTGTGCTATAAGCAGCCAGTTCCTACAGGGCAAGGATGCTTTGATGTTCGAAGGCCTAGTATGCTGTTGCGTCATGCAGGTAAGCCTGAGCAGCAATCCAGAGCAGCAGTCGGTACGACTCACCCTATGACAAGACAACACATTTGCTTGATGTGGCCTCTCAGATCATATGTATTGGAGGCTCAATGCGTCACTTATGGAGTGAGAATCCATTTCGTCATGTGCCAGGTGACAATCAATTGCATCACATATCGAGTGAGAATGCATGGTGTCACATACTCACGTTTTGTAGATTGTATGGTACATATCATCGCGGAAGGAAGGAGGCTTCTCTGGCAATGAACATCTTACAACATTCCATTTGCGTTGGAGGAAGTTGAGACTTAGAATGCGTTCCACTCAACACCACATCAGGCTCAGAAGACAGCCTTGTGTAACGAGAAAGCTCATCAGCGGCCTCAATCACTTGTGAAAGGTTGGCTTCCTGACAGGCTGGTGATTTCTGAGGGCATACTCACACTTGTGCTCTGCTGAACACAATTACAGCCAGATTCTAGCCCAAGGAGTGATGGCGTAAGTATGCCTTTAATCTCAAGTGAAAAGTCATGTGAATTAGATTTGACAGCCCATGTCAGAACCAGACTGGTATGGGTGAAGATTGGTAGGGTTCTGACATCATTTGGAGTTGATGTGGCCAATGCTGCAGCTGACGTGATCAGTGTCATTGGCAGCCAAAGGTTGAGAATGGAAATGTCTCCGTAGAATCAGAAGAGAGAAGAACAGGAATGTCTGTAAAAGTAAAGATCTGAGTTGGTATACAGGAAAGTCTGTAAGAGTCCATCATGATCTGAGTTGGTATCATAATAATGTTGAGCAACAATCGAAAGGCTGTTACTTCCAAGTGTATTCATGCCTACTGTCTTGACAGCATGCACGTCTTGGAGGAAAAAGAGCAACTGCGGAGGCAAGAAGAGGAGAATGGACGTGTTGCTATTCTGATTCAGCAGTCTCAGGGAGGCACTTCCAACTTGCCTGGGTGAGTTCAGGATTTTCTCCATGAAGCAGCTTTGTAAATGATCTCCACGTGGGGGGGGAAGAGAGAGAGAGAGAGAGAGAGAGAGAGAGAGAGAGAGAGAGAGAGAGAGAGAGAG